TTTTGCTATGGGTGAGTCATATAGTTCAGCTTCTTCAGAATTTTTTTTATAGAATTATTTATATTATTTACTTTTTGCTAGTTATCTACGTGTAATAAAATATGTTCCCCTGGTAATAACTATTAGAAATAAAGTTCCCACTAGAATATTTTCACTGGGAACCTTATTTCTAACAGTTATTTCCAGGGGAACCATATTTCTATAAATTCATATATCAGGGCTCTGCTTCCTCAGCGTTTTTTATAGAATTATTTATATTATTTACTTATTTGTAAAGCATTGCAGGTTATTTAATGTGTTTGAGGTTCATTTGACTTGAATAACATCTTCTGTGGCACTATCAGTTCTTAAAAGTGGTGGCTAATGAGGCCATGCCAGGCACAGCTGCTGGCTAATGAGGCCATGCCAGGCACAGCTGCTGGGGCTGTACATCTTCTATCATTATTTTTATCAGTATATTATTATTTTATATATATATTTATATTAGTATATTATTATTTTTATTAGTATAGACCCCAATGAGCAATATGTTGATGCCAAGGTAGGGTCTAACGTATAAGTTTGAGACATTCAGTAAGTTATTGTCTTGTTGAGCGTATGTATCTTTAATTTTAGTTGTGTAACCTCATGATCGGTTCACGTCACCACACACATTCATACATGTCACCACACATTGAGCTTGTGTTACCACACACTTCATCCACACATCCACCCCTTGTTGGTGGTGTCGTACTTGCGCGAGGGGGTCTCTTATAAAAATGAGACTGGGAAACCACAACAACAACAACACATTAATTATATAGGTACTAATATAATGCACCAGAAATATACATATAATACACCAGCTAACCATCCCTCCATATCTCAGGACGGCAACTCCTCCTGGCTGAACCCCAACGAGACCATCACCACCACCGCTGTGCCAGCTGTTGTTGCTGAGGTCAGCGGCCATGCCTGAGCCTGCTCCAACTTACATAACTTGGTAACTATTCTTTTAATAATTTACATTATTGGTAACTATTATTTTAATAGTTTACATTATTGGTAACTATTATTTTAATAATTTACCTTATTGGTGACTATNCTGTCTCTTATACACATCTAGATGTGTATAAGAGACAGGTCTCAGGGCATGAAAAAGCGGTGCTTGGATGTCTACAAAGCCAACGGGGAGCATATCCGTAAATAACCTTTAGCTTTGCAGCTGACGTATGTTTTGTTTTGCCTAAAATGTCAAAGTGTACAAAGTGGGGCTAACCTTTTGCGTCGGTGCAAAAACCTGTGTTTTTCATTTTCTCCGTTACTAATTACATTTTCAAAACAGTCTATTGTATTTTGATCATTGAGACCAAGACGATTCGTCTGCCACCATTTGCACAATAAAATTCGATGTGTTATGATGTTTTAAAAAGGTGGGGCTAACCTTTTGCGTCGGGCTGTATTCATTGTGAGAACAAGTTATTGTTGAAGCTTATGATTAGCAAATTCAAGTCATTGCATGTTCATCAGTCATGTAAGATATTGAAATTATGCCTTTTGATTCATGGATAAATTGTAACCTATTTTCTTGTTGCAGTACTAAATTATCGCTGCAGCAACACAAATGTCTCCCCTCACTGCCTCCTACACGAGGGGCACGTCTCCCCTCACTGCCCCCTACACGAGGGGCACGTCTCCCCTCACTGTCCCCTACACGAGGGGCACGTCTCCCCTCACTGCCCCCTACACGAGGGGCACGTCTCCCCTCACTGCCCTGGACGTCTGCTGCCTTACCCTCATATCGACCCCGCGGTGTTTGTTCGTTGTTTTGGTCCCCGTTTGTGATGCACATTACAGCGCCTATATTTATTGTAGGCTTATATTTACCGTAGGCTTTCCCTGGTGTTGATATGGTCTGATTTTAACACATTTTTAATAGTATAAAGCCGTTAAAAACCGTTATTTAAATCACTTTGAAATCTGTAGCATTTTTCCCAACCGAGAAGATGACTTGCGTGTTGACCGTTGAGTCGGTCATTTAAGCTAGTCTGTTTTGAAATAGCATTTGTGAATAGCAAAATAAAATGTGAAGAAAATTATTTATTTAGAACCAAGTTTTATGGAGGAAGTCGTTTCTATTTTTAACTATCAGATATATTATTATCGATCATTTATGAAGAATATGGTGCCTTCTCCTTGATCATATCTAGCAATATATTTTTTATGAGTAAGTCTGTATGTACGTGCATCATATCAGCAGAGATATATATTTCAAATACATTCCTATGCCTGGTCTCTATCTTTACTATTATCCACGCTCCTTTCATTCATTTTAATTCTTCCTTTCATTCAGTTTCGTTCCTCAATTTAAGAAGTTTCAAGTCCTGAGGCAAATTTATTTAAATAATAATATTGAAGGCTGAGGTAATAAAATTAGTTAGCCGGAAGTATGGGGGATTTGAGAGTCCAACTACGACGGGACAATCCGAAAATTATTGATATTTAAACAAGTAAGTAATTTTCTGGATAGTGACACATTTTCTACTGGAGCACTGATATATTATGCAATTTTGGTATAATAATAGTCGCTATTCAGTAACTGCGGCATGGCGACTTGTGTGGCATTGTCGGTAATTAAATATGATGAATATGTCTCGAGGAGATGGTGAAGCTCTAACAGCTTGTAAGGAAACGAGTCTCTGAAGTACGAAAACCTTTGTGATGTTGAAGGTTATCCTCAGGTTACAGGCAATAAATGGAGCTTGAATTTCACTGTAAACTCGGAAAAAGTTTTACGTAATAAACATATATGAGCACTCGTGCAGCAAGGTGATGTGCATTGCTTGTTACCAAAGTTATTTAACACAGTTAAAGTTATTTTGCCTCCATGAATGTCTTTAATTGCTGAAATAATTTTATACGAAGTATAAATATGTTGGATTTTTCATTGGTTGCCGTTCTGTCCATAGAACCTTACTTGAACAAACATTCAAAATTTTATTGATAGAGGCCAAAACACTTGCCTGGTGTTGTCTTCATAGCATAGTGATGTCGGCGCTGAAGAATAGGCCTGATGTGGCCTATTGCTGATTCTTGTACTTTTCGTGACTTGTCCACTTGAGATCTAAAAACAGGTCCTTCGACCGGATCTTTTCCTAACTGTCGATAGTTTGATATAGCTACAAGACTTCCACCGGGTTCGATATGGTGCTAGGCATTTCAAGTCTGAACATATATTTCTCCATAGCTTTGTCTAGGACTCTAGGTCATGGTTGAATTAATACATTAATTATAATTCCACTATGCTCTAGGTAGTCTGTTCTTGAACGCGTTTTTACTCGGAGCGAAAAATGATGAAAAACCTAATTAAATCTATATAAATAAAATAGGTCAAATGGTGTTTGATTGACGGCGATAATGAAAATGAGAGATCAATGTGCTTTAGGGCTAATTATCTATCAGATAGCTGTTTTTCGAAAATTATTTTTTACATAATTATGGGGTCGGAAAATTAGTATAAATCGGTTTAATGAGTTAGAAAGGTGACCGGAAACCTGCTGTCGTTGTACCTGTACTAGAGTATTTATGAAATGTTATCCATAGGGACATAGCTGTACATCTATACTAATTGTTTTTATGGGTTTATAATGTCTGCAAGAGTCACCGGCATTCATGTTTTGACGTAAAAAAATCGAATAACTCCTGCTACCAAGAAACTAGTTCGTATTCGAGATCGTAGTAATAATTCGTAAATTTCATTTGCTCGTGTTCAACCGTTTTTTCTTATTTATTTAGTTTTAATCCATTCTTAGCCAAGCTGTCAAAATCCTAAGTTTACTTTACTCGACATTGCATAGTTTTGGCAGGTGCCGGCGTAGTAATACTGAAGCAGGCAATCGGGCGCGGCCATATTGGACTGAGTTCTCACTAGCGGTGCAGACGTTCCTTGAAGCTTTTCAGTCAAGCACAGCAAGGCCGAATAATAAAACACAATCCAACATGACTGAGAGGGAAGATAACGTCTACAAAGCCAAACTCGCCGAACAGGCTGAGAGATATGACGGTAAGGAAATAAATATCGGCTTATTTTTGACCTAAGCTACTCTCTGGTTTTCAACCGCCGCTATTCACGTAGTAATCGAATTGTCTCAAATTAGTTTTCAATGTTTATGACCTCTCTTAATTTGCACCGATTGACATTTAAGCATTATCTCTGCCAATTTATAGGAAGAATGCAACGAAAAATTAGTACACACCAAGATTTTACATGCAAACATTTAGCGTCGCGTGTGGCGTACAATCGATGGCTTGCGTGACTCACGCTCCAGTTTAACCAAAAATCGTGACCACGCGATATTTTCATTGTTTAAGCGTTAAGTATTAAAGATTCTTTTGATTAATATTGCTTCATTCTTTCTACATGCTCTTTATTTTGTTTTTTTCTGTGTTTCGCATATCCGAAACTTGATTTTATGTTCAACATATGCCCGGTTCTGGAATTTTGAATACAATGTCCAAGCTCAAAGCTGGATAGCTGGAATGAAAGCAAATTGCAATGCCCTGCCTCTGGCCCTCTCTCTGTGCTCTTTTTCTAATTGTCTTGAGAAGATATTGAATCTAAAGAGTTATAAGTTAATAGGAGACTTTTAAATCAATCGTATAATCATTGAAGTAGAACTCCAATAACCTGAAACTGAAATGAGGACAAGATTGAATCTTGAACCTTCATAACATCAGCTGGCAACAGCTGCATTTGGCAGCCAAAATAAGTAATAATTTTTTATTATGATGCAATGTCATGGAATTAATTATATGGCTGTATNTGCAGTATTTCGACACGCAAATGTATGACGTCACCATTTCAACCATCAATGAACGCATGGAACTAAAACAAAGCTTAATATAAAGGAAAAGCTGGAGAGGTGATGGAATTACCTACGATGTCGGAATATACCGCGTTTACCCTAGGTGAATTGGTATGCAGTTAAGTTCCTGAGTTAATGTTTTGCTCAAAAATAAGTATTGGAATTTTTTTGCACGCATCAATGGAATATGAAAAAAGCAGGAATTATCAGATTTTTTATTATAATATTAAGCTTTGTCCTAAAAGCAAATGGAAAAATTTGCTTTTAAAGCGTCTCCTTGCCAATCAGGCATGGAATATATCTACTTGGTGAGCCATGACTGAATTTTTCAAGCCGTGGTTTTATGGATTTGCCAGCCGTGATTCCATTTCTTCAAGCTGCGATTCCATTTTTCGAGCTGTGAATTCCATATCTAGGTCATGAAAAGTCATTTACGACAAGCTGCAAATTTATGTACAAAGTCTGTGCAAGTGTTACCCAAAATCTTTAATTTTACCCTAAAACAGTCAAACGGCAACAATAACATTTGTCTTAACTGTAAGCTGAACACGTGTTAATGCAGTCTGACTGCTCTGACATGAAAGCAACTTTGAGCAATCTTTAACAAAACATTTAGGTTGACTTGTTGTCATTATGATTGATGATTATGTTCTGCAGGATATTTTGGTGGGAACGGTAAAGTAATGCGGTTTGTGGAACTTGAAAATGTCATGACCCGCGATTTTTGCAATCAAACAAAACTACTAGACAGTAGAGCCATGAGATTTCATACCTACTGAAATTATGTGATGTTAGAGCTGCAATATTTCAGACAAAAGTTGGATTTTTCCTGACCTGGTGCCAATTGCAATCATGCTTGAGCATTGCAAAATTGTATTTACTTGTTTGAAAGTCTGATAATTGTCAAATAGTTGTAAACAAATAGATAGAAATGTATTCGTGTAATAGTTGAAGTTGAACATGTCATTTGATAATCATGCTTAATTATTTCTGGAAAATAAGAAATTGGTACTGCTAATTGATGAAAAATCATAACATTTTCAATGCATGTGCATGAAAATTATGGTCTAAATGATTGAAAAATTTCCATTAAAAAAGTCAACTGCTAATTTATATCTATTTTTGGTAACTCAATCCAGAGGCTTTGTTTCATGAGAAATTACTGAACAAAAAAATTATTTTGAGAATTTACCTTGGCAAACAAAAAAATTCAGAAAAGAAAGAACTAATGCATCATCACCAGGCACATGTCCCAGCTTTCAAGACATGACACTCCCATGTGCTGGAAGATTCAGCTTTGATCAGACACTCTTTATCTTTATTTTTAATATTCCATATTATTTACTGATTTTTGGGATAATTATAGCCCTTAGTCATGCCTCCAAAGAAGGTTCTGAGTGATGGTAGAACTGCAGTGAAGAGGAACTGATCAACAATTGAATTGAAAAAGAAAATAATTTCCAAGTGTAGACAAGGGATACGTGTGTCTGACGTCACCACCAAATGCAGCATGGCTGCATTGACAATCTCTATGATTTTAAAGAACAAACATTTCAGAGAAGCTTATTTGTCAAAAGATGTGAATACTTTAATGAAGCAAAGAACTGAAATATTGAAAGTGAAAAATGTTTTGCATTTGTATATTAATGAGAAACAGTTCAGTAGGTTATAGTTCATTTGGTACGGTATGGTTATTTACAGTTTTAACTATTCTCATTTAAAAGCATGCCTGTACAGTATATATAGCCTGTATCAACGATACATTATCTAGTCAAGAAGGGCTCAGGACCAGTTATTTCTGCATCCATATTTTCTCAATATGGAAATTATTTGTTTACTGAAATTTGTTGCCATGAACCTCTGAGTAATTGATTATTGTTGTTAACCGTGGTTCTACTGCACTGTCCTGCAATCTGCATGTAAATGAAGGGAGCCTAGTGAGACAGTGCTGGTAGACACAATTTACGTTTTTTGCGTCCCTTGCCAACACAAGTTGACCAAATCATTCTAGTATGGAGATGAGCTGAAGACGCCTACTGCGCGTCTAATATTAAATATGCTGATGTGCCATTCTGGTTTGTGATCCACTGGCCATGGACACAAAAGAATTAAAAATTTTCAGAAGTATTCCCTCCTAACCGTCAATTAACATTTTGATTGCGATTGCTTCATCTCGTACTATTATTTCATTTGTTGTAGGTACTATTATGAAACAAGATTGCCAGATAGTATTTTTTTTTCTGGACAAATTCCGCAATTTAGTTTTTTGTCAATTGCATTGGCCGGCTAAAATTTATGAGAGGGGTACTTCCTAGTTAAATTTAAATAAGAGGGAAATGGAATTTTTACACCGGAACCTAAAAATATACTAGTATATATTGAGTTATAGACCTTTTTTGGCGTTTTAGGTTCCCGGACTTTGCTGTACTCTAGGCCAGCTGGCAACCCTGAATTATGCACCATTACGTCCTGAAGAAATACATTTTGTGGTACACATATGGCCCAATACGCAGGGAACGTGTTAAAAGATTGATGTGAACTTCAGGTTCCTGGTTAAATCTGCTTGATAATCCTGCTTGTCAAGTCACAAGATGACTTGATAATTGCTTCACAATTTTAATGTGCCATATTAACCTGTGTGTCTTGAAGTAGGATTAATAATGGTATAGGTATAAGTCTTGTAACCACATACTCGCTGTATCACAGATATGTTAGAAGCACCATCATACATTGTTTCACAACCATCACACTGTATTGCTACTGGCTACAAGTCTCTACCAAGCACTTTGATGTGTCCACAGAAATGTTGGAAGTACCTTCAAAAATTGTATCACAACCATCACAATGGTATTGTATTTAACTTAACTATCACAATGATATTGCTACAAGTCTCTCTACCAAGCACTTGGATGTGTCCACAGAGATGGTGGAGGCCATGAAGGCCGTGGCTGGCATGGACGTGGAGCTGACGGTGGAGGAGCGTAACCTGCTGTCGGTGGCTTACAAGAACGTGATAGGGGCGCGTCGGGCGAGCTGGAGGATCATTTCCTCCATTGAGCAGAAGGAGGAGAACAAGGGTATACATTGTTTCACAACCATCACACTGTATTGCTACAGGTCTCTCTACCAATTACTTGAATGTGTCCACAGAGATGGTAGAAGTACCATCATAAATTTTATCACAACCATCACAATGGTATTGTATTTAACTTAACTATCACAATGATATTGCTACAAGTCTCTACCAATTACTTGAATGTGTCCACAGAGATGGTGGAGGCCATGAAGGCCGTGGCTGGCATGGACGTGGAGCTGACGGTAGAGGAGCGTAACCTGCTGTCGGTGGCTTACAAGAACGTGATAGGGGCGCGTCGGGCGAGCTGGAGGATCATATCCTCCATTGAGCAGAAGGAGGAGAACAAGGGCGGCGAGGAGAAGCTTGAGATGATCCGCAACTACAGAATTGCTGTGAGTCTTGTCTTGAATATTGATGCTATTTAATGTGAGTGTCATTTGTGTCTATCATGTGGCTTCCGCAACTACAGAATTGCTGTGAGTCTTGTCTCGAATATTAATGCTATTTAATGTGAGTGTCATTTGGGGCAATAATGTGGCTTTGAGTCTCCATTATTTGCAAGAAATATACACAATGAGGCCCTATGCCACTGCAGCTGTACCATTTAAACTTGGTTTTAACATGCAAAACTGCCAACTGCTTGCTGCTGATGCCATTATGTTTGGGTTCCAATTGAACCTTTCAATTTAAAATAATAAATGTGCTTTTCTGGTATTCAAATGAAACGGCTAAACACATTTTTTATTATTTCAAACATTAATTATGTATTATATACACAATGTCCTATAAGTAGNCTGATAATTTCTGTTGTCATGGGTGGGTTTAGCTTGAAAAACTGCCAGTGACTGGCTGACAGAGTTACAAACTCTTATTAATTCTAATAATATGGCCTCTGTATGATTTGGTTTGAATCCTTTGAAAGCTGAACATTTTTAATGCAGGTATGCTTGAACCCATTGTGCGTAACTAAGATTGTTATTTAATTACTGTTGAACTTGATGTTAACCTTGAGTAATGGTGTTCATATAGGTTTTTTTTATTGCATAACTTGTGGTCAGTTCTGAAGTTAGTAATTAATCATTGACTTGAGAATAGATATGACCTCATCAATTGAATTTGTAATAGAGAACAAGGAAATAATTAAGTTTAATGCCGCAGGTTGAGAATGAGCTGAAGGACATCTGCTCGGACATTCTGGGCCTGCTCGACAAACACCTCATCCCCACAGCCAGCAGCGGCGAGTAACGAGACCATCACCACCACCGCTGTGCCAGCTGTTGTTGCTGAGGTCAGCGGCCATGCCTGAGCCTGCTCCTACTTAGCTAACTTGGTAACTATTTAAATAATTTAAAAATTTATAAGCGAAGAGAACGCCACAAAAATTCAGCATTTCTCTATTGAAAATGTTTTGGGGACCAGCTCCATCCTAGGTTCAACAAATCTAGAACACAGTAATTCGAGAACTCAATAATTTACCTTATTGGTAACTATTATTTCAATATTTACCCTATTGGTAACTATTCTTTTAATAATTTACCTTATTGGTAACTATTAGGGCATTTTCTCATTTATGGGAAAAAAGGCACTATTGTGCTCGCCATGTCCGTCTGTCTGTCCATCCGTGACTCCACGTTTTTGTCGACGAGAAAATGCGCTCTGTCACTCACTGCAGAGAGTACTGAGTTATATTTTTTAAATAATTTACCTTAAGTAGCCAACTTTGTGATTATCAGTAATGTTATTAAAGCATTTAGGCAGACGACTATAGCCTAATTTAACGTAACTGCCGTCATTAAGCCTTTTTTTTTTTGTGCGGTAATTGTTACTCTTTTCAGCCTCTGCTAGTTATTGTATTTAGGTAGACGACTATAGCCTAATTTAACGTAACTGCCGTCATTAGCTTATTTTTGTGCTGCAACTGTGAATAAAATGACTTTAAGCTGCCATGGTTATTATAGGAACTGTGTTGTCTGTGCTGTGTCGCCAGTCACTGCCCAGTGGTGGTGATCAGAAAATTATTTGAATTATTATTAAAAATTGTTTAAATTTACAGGAGAAGGAGGTGACCAGAAGGAGGCCGTAGAAGACGTCGAGAACCAGGAGACCGCTGCCAGTTAATTACCAGCCTGTCACAGTCAGCACTTCTCTACTGCTACTACTTCTACAAGCATCCTCCTCCCCCCCACCTTATCCCCTCAAAAATTTATTTCAGGATAACTACTGTCACTCCCCCCATCCCCGACCGTCACCGCCAGGAAACACCTGTCCATTGCCCAATAACTTCTCATTGTTTTTATTCTGGTGGCATTAGATTGGCGTCAGCACAAGACTGATGTTCGTACCGTCAGTATTGATAGGCTGTCACTGTTTTGTGCTCTACACTGTGCAGTTACTGTATACTGTGCTGTGGGTACTGCCACGAATACTGTGCAGTAAACGATGCTACTGACTCTGTGCAGTTAGTGTGCTACTCTCTGTACAGTTACTGTGCTACTTACTGTACAGTGAGCGTGGCTATATACTGTGCAGAAGGTGTTCCCACATACTGTGCAGTGTGCATATGCTGTGCTGTGGATGCAGCTACACTGTGCAGTGAGCCTACACTGTACAAATGTTGTTGCTAAATATTGGACAGTGAACGTACACTGTACAGTTGGGGTGCTAACCGTACCAAAAATTGAATTCTTTCTTTAGTATCAATGTGGATGTTTCATGTGGAGTCAAATTGATTCCATGCGGCGAACAACATTGTTTGTGATCATCATGACTGTTCCGTGTGGACATTCATTGTGTACGTTAAATAAGGTACATTCCTCGACGCGTCTTACTACCTGTACAGTCCCACCCTTGATCTTAAGACTGCACAGTTTCTTTGTGTTCATTTACGGTCTCAGTCTTATTGTGAACATTCTTCTATTTACACATTCCTCTTGTGCTTAAGTGGGGACTTTAATAGACTGTGTAAAGGTTCAGCTCTTTGTTAAGACGTCTTTTAAGTACTTTTTCTGTTCCTACCAACAGTCTGCTGGTGGCGCAGTAGCTACTGTATTGTGTCTACATTCCTCGTATATTCTTGTTCGCTCGGGATATTTAAACAAGAGGCATGTAAAAGCATTCCTCATTCCGCAGGGATGAAGTTTGGTTCATATTTCTTTAGAGGCGCTCTCGGCTCCTTAGTCTGTCCTAACATCTCTTGTAATTCAATGAAGGTGATGTCCTATTAAAGTGAATCTCGTAGAACGATCTTATGTGAAAGGAAATTCAAAATGACTAGGCCAGTTCCTTCTTTATTCGGCATTCGCACTGTCCTTTAATGTGATAATTATTTAATTAATGTTTCATCCTTGGTTCCGCTCTCTGACATACATAGGAAGCAATGGAAACCTCAACCTTGAATACCTTTGTGAACATGGTTTTTCTTTTTCACCAAGAGTTCAGTCTCCCACTTCAGCGTAAATTCTAAGTTTTTTCTTGAGTCTGTGGCCTCCTTATCGTGAGGTATATATGGTCAGCCCAACACCCCCTAGCCCTCATCCCTCCCTGTATTAACTCCATCGCTTTTAGTTTAAATACATCGTCCAGTTAGCCACACACATTTCTTATTATCTTTAATTCCATACCTCATGTTCTCCTGATAATTTATGACCGGTGCCGATAATCCGTCTCTTTCTGTACATCTTTTTTTTTCGTTGTGCATCTTTCTGCTGTACATCTCTCCATGAGATGTACAGCGACTGTGTGTTCAGTTGTTTGTTTTGTGACACGCGTCATCTGAACGACGCTCGCTATGACTTATCTTGTACCTCTTCCCCATAACTTGGTTTCTCCTCTTCCTGACATTTTTTTACCTTGCTCCTCCCCAGACTTGCCCTGTACATTCCCGTTTATTTAAGTTAGTCCTCGTCGCTTTAATATCTTTAGTATTGTAATTATTAGTGGAGGGATATGTGCTGGTTGTCTCCAGCCAGTGCTGGTTGTCTCCAGCCGGTGCTGGTTGTCTCCAGCCAGTGCTGGTTGTCTCCAGCCGGTGCTGGTTGTAAGATGTTTAGATATCGCAACCCGTTAATTACTCAACTTGGTCCCAGTGAAAAGCTTTACGTGTGAGAAGATTTCAAATGCCACGTTCATGATCAGTTATTAGATAATGATTATTTATATGCTAATCATCCTTATTGAGGTTAATGGTCGAACAAGTAATTGGTAAGCAATATGAAGTTGTGGTAATTTGAGGGTAAAGTGCGTGACTGTGTATTATATTAGCCTTTAGTTACATGTACTCCTGTTTAGCTTTACCTTTAGTGTTCACATCCGCGGTGCTGCCGCCCCCGCTCTTCTCTTGACACCTTGTCCGCTCTCGTTTCTTGAAGATTCCTAATTTTCAGCAGATTATTTCATTCGAAATAGGTTTGATTTGGTATTACTCATATGTAATACTAAACAATGTATTGTTTGGTAGTACAGAAATCACTGGCAGTTTGTCGTCTCCACATCATTGCTGTCGAGTGAAGCACCTCTACTAAAGCGTGATAGTTCATCCTGTGTTTTCTGTATAGTTTTGAACTTTGTGTAGTACGTGACTCAGTCGGAGTCCTCATGACAATGTGTGTTCCTTCAATGTATTTATTTGGTTAAGATCGTGTAATCGCTCTTTTAGTTTCATTTTATTGACATTCTGTGATGAATTTATTTTCTATTCTTTTTTTTTCGTGTGTGTGACATGAATGGACACAAGTTTTTCGTTGCTGAACAGTGATGCTTTCCAGTATACAATCATCACTCTAGGGCCTCAGTCACTCTCTTCATCCCTCTCCTTTGAGGGAACATTGACACATCAAGATATACCACCCTCAGTTAGAGGGGAGGGTCCGAAGGTTATCAGAGGGTTACAACCCGCGCCCCTCGTTAAAGGGTTGTTAGTTGGCAACCACCAAAGTTTCTGTAAGACTCCTCCCCTCACGTCAGGAGTATCATCGTCTTGTTCTTCGTGGCTATTGGTCGTTGAATGTGTCCACGTCAATTGGTGATCTCGTTATGCTAGATTCTGGTCCAGTGGTGGCAGGGGAAGTTTTTTTATTATTTTTTCGTGCGAGTCAAGTGAAGAATTGCGCTGCCCTGGCTACGTGTTCAGCCACGAAATGTTCTCGACGCGAGACGAAAGAGACCACGAAGACCTAGACACAGCCGAGGGTCTCGTCAGGAGAGCCATAGAATTGAGGACAAGGATTGTTGACTTTAGATCCTGGTGGCTAAGGCTCCTGGCTGCTGATAGCTCTGGGACTTCTGATGGCTGAATAGCAGTGGTCTCTGACTCCTGATGGCTGACTAGCAGGGGTCTCTGGGACTCCTGATGGCTGAATACGTTTCTTGGGAACACTTCCATGTTAGCCATAAGCTCACAGCGGCTCTACTCCTTCTCACGCTCGTCAGAATCTCGCCCCCGTTCCGCATCCCCGGGACTTGTAAAGTTTCTAAGAATGAAGAATCGTAACTTGATAATTTACATTCCTCGAATGCACAACGTTTACTTTGTTTATAATAAATTTACTAAGATCTCGTTAATGAAATTACCCGAAAATTCCTGCTTCGTATATGCTAGAGATGATCCCTCGGCTTGAATGCTTAACGTACGTCGAAGTCGTTATCTCGTGGGTTAGCTTTTGTTTCGGTATGACTAGAAAGCTCTGCTTCATGACCCATCCTTTGACCCGCTTTTGATGCACAACGACGCGAGGCTTGAACCATCCCTTGAGGCACAACGTAACGAGGCTCTTGTGGTCACCTCCCGGTCCTCAAAATCGCCTTTTTTTATTTCCTTGGTCGTTGTCTTCAGTCGATAGATTCTGCTCATTTAATGTCTTCTCTCTTCTATGCATTCGTACGCATTCTTGATATTTTGAACTAAGACCCTTAACGCATTCTTTAATGTTAGTCACTTACGTCAACCTGCGGCATTTTGCATCCCATTCCACGGGCCGTTATGCGCGATAAGCTAAATACGAATTGCAAGGCATTAAATTAAATTGTAATGATTCTTCGTTTGCTCTTTAAGTAGTTCAACAAAAGAGGAGGAAATTGAAGTGTCCCAGCACGCTCTTTGTGTTCTTTTGGTTACGTTGGAGCGACAAACAAGCGAAGCTTAGTCAGTAGAACCGTGCAATGTATCCAGCTTATGAAAACTTGGGTGTTTTCTTCAAATTTAGAACCTGGCTATACATTTAATAGCGTCTTCAGATATGAGGTAACGATGGTCTTAGCTCCGCTTGTGCGTCGCGTCGATGATTACTCAATAAGCGTTATTTGGTAAGTTGCTGTAGTTGTGCGTGTGTCTCACCTTCATTATCGAGGATGTACAATTTTCATTTACTGTTTTGTACAATAAAACAAATCACCCACCACGACGTTTTATTTATATCCTTCTCGTCGCGACGCTGAACCCGGACAGATAATACACGTCGCTTTCGTGCGTCAATGAATATGGCGGTGATATATATTCTTAGTATAGGGAGCGACATGATGTACCTTCCGTGGTGGTCAATATTACCTTATGACTATTCTCATAGCGTGTCCATGGTCGTCCAAAAGTACTCCCAAGATTCAGCGCTCCTAGGGACGTCGTTCCAGAACACCCAACTATAGTCGCGGTGTCTCAATGCGGGTCTCGGCTGTAAGCTTAACCCTCTACCGCCGTGTTTCACTCTCCGGGTACATAACTTTCAACTTAGATTATACGTAAACTATTGAGTGTAGCAACCTGAGGACGTTTGTACGCAACAGGGAACATTTTAACCCTCTACCCCCGTACAACCGTACGTCAAACCGTCATCCAAAAAACCTCTTGGACTAATCAGACGCTCATACGAGTTCCTAGATGCAGAAGCGATGAAGCAGTTGTTTGTTGCTGTCGTGCGCCCGAATCTAGAGTTTGGAACGTTGTGTGGTCGCCGAGATTTGAAAAGGACAGAAATTTAATAGAGAATGTTCAAAGACGTGCAACAAGGATAATTCAAGGCTTGAAGGGCAAGTCCTATGAAGAAAGATTGAAGATTATGAAGCTTCCAAGGCTCAGTTATCGACGTCTGCGTGGGGACCTCATTGAACTATACAAGTATACTCATGGCTTATACAAGGTCCCAGAAGGATTACTAGAATTTGAAACAAGAACCAACACCAGGGGCCACGGCTATAAGCTAAAAAAACCGCTGCAACTTCTCCACGCGAAAAAATTTCTTCTCGCTTCGAATCACCGACATGTGGAACAGCCTCCCCGATGACATCGTTGGCGCTCCAAGTATGAACGCGTTCAAGAACAGACTAGATAAAGCTATGGAAAAATATATGTTCAGATTTGAAATGCCTAGCTCCTTATCGAACCCGGTGGAAGTCTAGTAGCTACTTCAAACTATCGCCAGTCATGAAAAGATCCGGTCAAATGACACGAGTTTAGATCTATGAACAAGGCACGAAATGGAAAAGAATCGGCGACAGGCCACATCAGGCCTACACTTCAGAGCCTGTCTCTTATACACATCTAGATGTGTATAAGAGACAGTCATCACACGCCACACGCCGACAGACACCACACGTCACCTCACACCACACGTCACACACACACCACACGTCACCACACACACCACACGTCACACAGACACACGCCACGACATGAACAGCATGACATGGGAGCCTACCTAGAGCCAGGGAAGGATTCGTCAATCATCTCCAGCAGTCGCCTGTATTCGTCGGGGGTCAAAGATCCCCAAAAAGGGTTGGTGGAGCTGCGTGGTAGAAGCTTGCCATTTCTGAAGATCATTAGCAAGCCGTGTACATGCGTTACCCTGAACCTAGAGTTTGGAAAGGTCGTGTGGTCACCGAAATTTGAAAAAGACAAAAATTTAATAGAGAATGTGCAACAAGGATAATTCCAGGCCTGAAAGGCAAGTCCTATGAAGAAATATTAGAGACTAGACGAAGCTATGCAGGAGCATATGTTCAGTCTTAAAATGCCTAGCAAATTACTGACCTTACGAGCCCGTCACGGGAGGCCTCAGGCGCACACTCGTCGTCGTCAGACGACGACGACGACCCACTCGTCTGCTGCGCCTGCGCACGTGACTCGGGTGGATCTGCGGACAAGCCTGGTAGTGACATAACATAACATAACCAAACATAACATAACATAACATAGCGATGTCAGCGCTGAAGTGTAGGCCTGATGTGGCCTGTCGCCGATTCTTACTTTTCGTGCCTTGTTCACAGAAGATCTTAAATCGTGTCATTTGACCGGATCTTTAAATGACTGACGATAGTTTGAAGTAGCTACTAGACTTCCACCGGGTTCCATATTGTGCTAGGCATATCAAGTGTGAACATATATATATTGTTTTTTGGGACGTCAAGTGTGTCAGTGGCTCACCTTGGCCAGTGGCTCCTGCAGCAGCTGTGGCCAGTGGCTCCTGCGTCTTTTCCTCTGGTCTGCGTCTTTTCTGCTGTACGAGCTCTCTTATCGCGTGACCCCGTTGTACGTTCCGTTGTCGACGTTCCGCCATCGCGTGACCCTGTAGAGATGAAATTTAATGCATTAATATTCACTCAATTCACTGATATTAATGTATCGATTAATGTATTACGGCCGGTTCTTAAAATTTTCATCGACCTTGAAATGAGTGTTGAATCTGCATATTTTGTTAATTCAATGTCAAAGATTTCTTTAAAGACTTTCGTAAATATGGCGGACAGTGGACTTAGTGATGTATCAAAGATTTTGTCAAAGATTTTTTTTTTTTCAAAGATGTATCAAAGATTTTTGTCAAAGAATAGACTTTTTGTTGAGCAATCAAATTCTCTAATAAATACCGTAAAATGGGGTAACTTAGACCACTTTTTGTTTTTTTAACAAAAACACCCAAAACTCAAAAACTATTTGACATAGAAAAATTTTGTCAATGGGTATTAAAGGCCTAATACTGAGGCTACGTAACACAATAAAAAAATTTAAAAAGTTTGCATATCTAATAGGTTAAAAAATTTAAAATGTGACCCATGAAATTTGCAGTAATCGACCCTTAAATTTGCAGTAATCAAGAAATTTCTTCCAAAACTACTGAATAGATTTGAACAAACTTAGTAATTAAATACCTAACCTAAGCAACGATGATGTTTAGCTTGCTACAATTTTTTATTACAACACTTCTCTTGAACTTCACTTCTTGTTTGTTTGTCTTCTACAAATCTTATAATTGATATTTGACACACTTCTACCTGTCCAATTGATATGAAATTTTGTACACTTGCGTAAAGTTGGAGACAATGTATGAACCAATTGACAGAAAAAATAATTTTAAAAGTTAAATTTTTTTAGAATAAATAGAACCCAAAATCAAAATGAAACTTGAGGGAGAGTCTAAAAAACTCTCTGCTTGGCCACTATGCTTACTTACATAAAAGTTGCACACTGGTGTTTGCTTAAAAATGTGATTGACAGAATTTGCATATCTCATTCCAAGATAAGAATTGGCGGCCATTTCCGCAAAACGGGGTAATATGAGACACCCCCCCCTGGGGCGCCCGGGCATGATGGAATTCTAATTTCGAAGGTTCATATATTATTTTTATCCACCAAGACCACTTTTTCAAGCCAACATCGTTATTTGAGGCAAAAATGAACTTTTTAAAGGCTTAAAACATGTACGCTAACTTGCTCAGTTTCTATAAAGTAATCACTTGGAACTTGCATGCCTGCACCTTTCACTCAACAATTAAAATTAAAATTATAAAAAGTATTAGTCAGCTGAAGATTTGTCTCTTAAGTTGACAGCAATGAACTAAACTTCATAAAGTAATTAAAACTACGCTGCAAAGCAGAGTTTTCCATGATGCACACTAAACATGCAATTCAGGCGAGCAGAACTACACATCACAAGAGCAAGCATGCAACTGCAATAGCTTCATAGTTCATTCCTGCCTCCCGGTGCATAATCTAGCAGGATGATCATTGTTGACAGTAAATTGAACTTGATGGTAAAGTGAACTTGAAATGACCAAAAGAAATGTCTGACACTGCCATGTCAAATGTAATCATAGAAGCATGATGTGAACCTATGCCTTGAAAAAGTTACAGTTAATCTCATAATTTTGTGTGATATCGAAAACTTTGTTGGTATTGTCCAATAATGAGATTTTTTGCAAATGTGGATGTGTTTTTTTTTATTTTAGAACACATTCATTGCAAAAATTTGTCAACTAGCCTACAGATAAACGACTAGTTAACTTGATTGAGGCGTTGCCAACACAGGAATGGATGTCAAACCACGCATGATTTCGGATGTGTGGCAGTTTCTAATGAGCTCAATGTATCAATTTTCACGGCAGTGGAAGGTGGTGTAATGTGGTAGGGTAGGTTTTTTGATACATTTTCTTATTTCAACATGAGAATATATTAGGGTAAACGCGGTATATTCCGTCACATTAAGGACGCATCGAGAAATGAAAAACTATAAAAAAATAACCGTATGCGTTACTCAAGTTCTGTTTGCTTTAGGTGACTCTCAAAACACTGTAGTACCTGTCTCTTATACACATCTAGATGTGTATAAGAGACAGGTATATTAACACGTGCTGAACTTACAGTAGAGACAAATTTTATTGTTGCCGTTTGACTGTTTAAGGGTAAAATTAGAGATTTGGGGTAACACGTGCATAAACTTTGTAAATAAATTCGCATTCGCACCTCGTAAATGGCTTTTTATGGCCGAGATATGGAATTCACGGCTCGGTGAAATAGAATCACGGCTCGTAGAAATGGAATCACGGCTGGCAAATCCATAAAACCACAGCTCGAAAAATTCAGTCGTGGCTCGCCAAGTAGATATATTCCATACTAGCCTATACAGAATTCCACACTGCCTTGGCCAGGGTAATAAGAGACATCCCTAAAACTGCATTTACAGTAGAGCCTTGGTTAGCAAAAGCTCCAGTTAATGAAAAAATCAATTAACAACAAAGAAATTTGATTACATTTACCTTGCTCAGTGTAAAAAAATTCACTTAACAAAAAATTACTGAATCAGTCATCACAAAATTGTGCATAGATGTCATAGATAGAATTGAGCAGTAAATGAGCACTGGGCAACAAAGAATGAAAAATAATAACCTAAACTATGATTTATTTCTCCAAAAATATTCCTTCTCTTTCAGGTATGTTTTTTACAATCTTTTTTTTTTTTTTTTTTAGTAAAAGTCTGCGCCAATCTTGGTACTCTGAACTTCAACCACTGGGCCTGGTGGGCCACCCTGTCCCTGCCCATCCCATCTATTCTTCACCAGCACTGACATAATGACATTAGTGATATACTACTTTACATACTTTAAAAGAAATACGAAAGTTATTCCTATAGCTCCTACAGGCTACATAGCTATATAAACTCACCTTGAGTGAACAATCGAAGTACAGTAGTACAAATTTCGCACTTCGTCAGTTTAAATCAGCGCGGCAAGCTGCGACTCCCTTGTCCGTGTTCCTTCAGGACTGAAACTAAAACAGTGGACTTGATGTCTGATTAGGTACTTAAAGATTGTTTTTATTTAACAACTTAGGAATTCTTTACCAATTACCATTAGAAACTTAACACGATATTTCAATCATTAAATTTGTAAGCGGACTGAAATACTGATCACAAATGAATAATGAACCGATGCATTAATAAGTTAAATTCGTTGATGAGCTTGCGCTATAGGAATCGCATGACCGACGGTCACGTGATTGGAGAACCAATCAGGATGCAGGAAGCAAGAGACTGTGGCGTCTCTCATTTCATGCGTGCCAATTAGAGCGCAGGAAACAAAAGACTGTGGCGTCACTCATTTCATGCGTGCCAATCAGGACGCACGAAACAAGAGACTGTGGCGTCTCTCATTTCATGCGTGCCAATCAGAAGGCAGGAAACAAGTGACTGCAGAAACATTTCAACGCTAATTGCGTAGGGTTAGCTGGAAAACGCCCTTAGTTTCTAATAACCACCGTAAAAAATAACCACGTATCTCACAGCCTTGTCGGTCGAGATACTCTTCAACTGATATCTATTCTTGGTGTTGGATCAATAATAATTTAGCTGGAACTTCAGGGAGGTACTTGAGCTTTCTGCTCCACTAATGCGTTTCATTTCATGCAGTTCTTTCAATGGCGGGCAACGAAGTCACAGTCAATGAGATAATAAAAACTATAGGAACCAAGAAACTTTGATAGAAACTAGCAATGAGGATGCAGGTGCACTAGTGCTGGAGCTGCACATGCACCAGCGATAAATATGCACATGTTCTCAGGCACACGCACACGCGAATAACTTACAGTCTCCACCCTGAAATGTAAGTTATAGAACATTTTTCGATCTATAAGAACATTCAAATTATAAAACCAAATATTTTATTAAGAAATAAGTCGAAGATAAAATGATTTTTTTTATTTGTTACCGATGCAATGACTTTAGTGAGCTTCATG